GGTTTCCTCTGGAGGGGGTTGTTTCTCAGAAGTAAGTCCCTGCTGCACGTTACTAACTTACAGAGGCCTTGGTAGCAATTTAAGAGGTTGTCAAGCTTAGTTTTGATGCTCCATATCAGTGACAACTGAATGGCACGCATGTCCCACCTGGATCATTCTGACAGTGGAGCATTTCAGCACCAACCTGCCTTCATCAGCAGTTGCGCTGGGTGTTACAAGTTCAATCTCACAAGTTGCTCAGGCATATCTACATCCGTGGTGCTTCTCAAAAAGCCAATTCTCCTAATCCAGCAGAGATAAAACCACCTATCTTTCAGTTGCTTTGCTTTGTAGCTGGGACAGGTGTCCAACACCAGCCACAGCACAGCCACAAGAACAYGCAGGAGGAAGCCACATGGAGGGTGGCATGCTGGTAACAGAAAGAGCTCAGTGTAAAACCACATGCAAGATTTAAGTGAAAACAGTGGTGAAGTATAAAAAATTAGAATCAAAAGATATAAAAAATAAGAATCAAAAGACAKTGTGCAGGGTACCAACCACATTGGGGTTTCTGTCTTCCTTAAAGAAAGGGAGTGGTGAGAGTTTCTTGGTCAGATACACAGACCTMCTAAAATCACTGAAAAGTATGTTTTCTGTTATCCAGCCCCTTCAGCTCCAGGAGCCGATGATTGCAAGTAGGAGAGTGGCCAGTGTGGAGAGGTTACTGAGTTAAGTGCTGCTAATTCCTTGTTTATTGACTTCAGCAAATTGGGATTAGGACGGGCCAGGGGTTCCAGGTGGTGGCCTTGTGCTGTTTACATGGCATGTCAGGAATGCAGCAGCTCTACCGTCATTTTGCTTGCTTTTTAAGAGATGTGGTGGGGAAAGCAGGCAGCTGAGTGGGAGCATTGTGCTGAGGCCAGCTCAGTTAGCCCAGGGTTGCATCTGGCTCCTGATGACTGACTTCTTGTGTAGGGCTGGAGGATCTTGTGTCCTGTCCCCTGAAGCCAAAGGGCAAGTGGGRTGTGGGTGGGGATTCCTGGGCAATCCTGGCCATGGGACCTCRCCATGCCCCAGAACAATCACATGTTATTATGGAAGAAGATTCTTTCTTCCTTGCTTCCTTCCTAGAGTCAGTCTGGGCATTGTCWTGCCCCTCTTCCCCCTAAACAATAAACCCATTCACCTCTTCCCTTTCTCCCCGGGATATTCTGTTTTAATGGAATTTCAATTGCTAATAATCACGCCCAACCAGTCTGTCAAACTTAAGGCATTCAGAAACTTGACCTTTGAAAACTGATTGATTTTTTGTTTGTTTGGTTTTTTTTTGGGGGGGGGGGGGTGTTGTTTGCTTGTGTATTTTCGTTGTGTGTTTGTAAGGTTTTATGTGGGTTTTGGGGGGAGGGGGTTGGTTCTTTTTTTTGTTCCTTAAAACAACTGCTTACAAACAAACAAAGCAGAAGCCCTGAGCCAGACAGACCCCAGCTGTACCCTGCAAGTTGGTACCAACTCACGGGAGGTTATCATACRGGAATTATGACAGAGCCATGAGCAGCTGGGGAAGAGCAGCTATTGTCAGTCACTCTCTGCTCCGGTGAATCTGAAACGTGTGAGCTAAAGTGGAAAGACTCTGTTCCAGCACGACGACTCTCTTCAAGCTCACTGCTTATCACGCTCAGCCCCTCTCTGTGCCATGTCTCTCAGAGAGCTGTGGGGATYGAGCATTTTTTTCTTTGCAAAATATTTTGGGTATTGCTGATGCTCTCAGGACACCAAGGTGGTTGCAGCCTCRTGCTGTTGCTGGCAAGTCTTCAGCTGGCTGGAAGATGCTGTGTGTAAATCCAAAGGGTAATCTGCATCACCCTAGTGATGGAATAATTCCTGTTAAATGCACTTCAACTACACTCAGATACAAATGCCTCAATTGTGAGACCCTCAGGGAAAACACAATTTTAGGGATATATGAGGCAAATGTACATCAGGTCCATGAAAGAACTGGTGAAAAGGGGAACRTAGAAGCCAAATGGTGCCCATCAAACTGGTGCCTGTGGCTGGGAAAGCTGTGTACAACCCATAAAAACCATCAGGATTTCCCTACCTTATGCAGGGAAAAAAAACCTAAACTAAACCTGCACCTACTGTCTTGTCTTGGGTAACTCTRAATTTCTGGGTCYCAGAAGTTTTCTGTAAAGTTCCTGCTCCTAGGGACACTTCCCAGCTTGTGCAAATAGTATCAGGTGCATAGATTGTCTTCTTCCACCTCAGGACTGTGTCTGGCTGTCTCCTTCCATCTATCAGTGAGTGCTCTGCTACTGCTTCTCTGTTGATTTTTTTATTCTATTTATCTGCTTCATCTTATTACAATTAATTCATAATACTTACATTCAAGTTTATTAGCTCTGAAAATCATAAGACTTTATTATTTCTCTTTTAGATTATTATCCTCCACCCATTGTGATAATGTTCTTGCATCTTTTCCCATCCTTTTCTCAAGCATGCTCTCCACTGATGTYCTTGTAAAGAAATGTGTTTTCCTTGGAAAGCATTCCAGGGCACATGGACATTGCCCCATACAGAGATGTGAGCTTGCCTTCCCTCCTGCAGTTCAAAGTTTGAAAGAGCAAAAGTCAATGTTCTCTCGCTGGTTGTCTGCCTTGACTGCCTCTCTCTGCCAGTATGGTGTCCCTCCTGCCACGCTGACCTGCTGGATTTTCCACTACTTCTTGCCAGTTTTCCAGAGGAGATGAGTCTGAAAAGATGTTCTAGTAGTGCTTGAAATGCAAGGAGAACTCTARCAATGTGGCAATGCCCTGCAGGGATTAAGGAAGGCAGAACTCTTCAGAGATCGTTTAAAAGGGAATTAAGAAAGTACAAGTGGAAAGAGGTTTCTCTGTCTGACAACAGTTAGGACAAGAAAAGTTCCCCAAAATGGAATTATTCAAATTTCTAGTACACTTATTAACTGAGCATTGCCTCTCACCTCTGAGGTGTGCAAATTCAGTCTCTGCCAGTCTCACCACACTGCCTGATTTCTGCCTTCCCAGTTCTACTGCCAGAGTCAGAGAATGACACCCTTCCCGAGTGTTTGTCAGTAGGACAAAGCAAATCTGCTGCAATGAAGCCTGAACACACCAAAATGTTTTTCCYTGGCAATGTCATGTTTGCCATGTGGTATCTGCCATTCTCTTTCATCTTCCCTGTCCTGCCACTCCAGAGTCTAAAAATACCACCTTCTTGGCTGCCAGAGCAGTTAAATCTCTGTGCATGTTTCTTCTGTTTCCTTTACTCATCCCTTTTGTTTTCCTTCTGGATTATCTTTCTCCTGTGTTCATTTTGTATTCCTTTTATCTAAGTTCAAACATCTTGAAAATCCCTGCATAGGATATGCTTTTAGCAGGTTGTTTTTTTTGTTGGGTTTTTTTTTTTTTTTTTAACTTGCATTGCCCCGTTCTCGATGACAAAGCAGCACAGGCAGGAGCCAGCTCCAGGGCTGCCTGCCTGTGCCATGATTCAGCAGGTTGTAAAAGGAAGGAATGTTTTCTTTTTTGGGAAAGGGTGGGAGAGAAAGGGGAAGCACYCACGACAGACGTGTGTGTATATTTGACTTCCTGGTGCTTCTGTGATCTCAGCAGGACTATTATGCTGCCCTGCAGTTGCATTGGCGTTAATAACCTGTTTCAAAAGAAAGACTTGAAAGATATTTGATGGAAAAATGGTTTAGCCTAAATTGAGGAGGGCACTTACTAAAATGTACTGCTTTGTTACTCTTTGTTTTTCCATAGTGTTTTTAAGATCTTTTAAGTATTTGCTATCTCCTGTGCCGTCTGTTGTTTGTAATTGTTTCCCTGCCTGTCTACATCTGCTCATTCAGGGTATAGCTCCACAGAGGGGTTTAGGAGGCAGCTTGRTGTGTTTCTGGAAAAATGTGTTTGATTCCAAACTTCAGTACAAGCAGGGATTTGCTGATTTAATTTATGCTGAGCCTTATTTCTGAAAGCCGGGGCCCTGCTTGCTTTGTCCTAACACGGTGGAATTTTCTCTGTGGGGAAACTTACACTGCTGACTCATTGCATCAACTCAAAACAGATTTATGTTTACAAAGGAAAAAAAAACCATCACCGTTTTCTTTCTTACTTTTTTCTGCCCCTCTTGGTAATACCAGATTAGTAATTTCTACAGAATACCTCCTATTTCCTGGATCAGGCTGCAGCCCACAGACCACACAGGAGTTCGCTCTGAGCTGGGTTGCTCAAACACAGCTTTGCATTTAACTCTTCTCAGCTGGAGCAGCTCAGAGACAACTCAAAGGTGCTCTAACTTCCAAAGTAGAAGGAGCTTGTTTTTCGCACCGTGGGATGTGTTTCCTCTCTCCCACACGGCTGTGTGAGCGGCAGGACATGGACACTCCTCAAATTTAATCTTGACCCATGTTCACGTGGCCTATCAAACCCAGCACCTCCTTTGGCTGTCCATCCCATCGGCACAGCAGGGACAGTTATTTCTGCATTTCCCTGTGTTTCTGTACTGTTTCCATGTACAAAAGTTCAACATAAATACATATTTCACCTCTGCAAAACTACATTACATTTTYGAAAYACAGCACAGCTTAAAGGTTCCGCAATTGCACAAGGCCTTYGGGCAAGCRGCCGCAGAGCAGCACTGCCATATTGCAAACACACYGGAGCATGTGTCACTGTTCACTGTTTTATTAAACCCTCGTRTTGTAATTGAAGAAAAAAAAAAACATCCGATACAATGCATTTTCTGAACAGGCAAGAAAACCTGAACACTTTTTCTAAGGAACAAGAATACATAAAGACGGCTTTGCTGTGTAACACAATGGTATTTGTGAGGCGGCAAGTGAGGGGCGGGCGGGCACGGCGTGAGGCGATCCTGGCCCCGCCCCCAGCGCCCCTTACCGCCCCCTACCGCCCTCACAGCCCGCCAGCCACCGCAGCGCCCCTGGACCGAGCCCCGCCGGGACCCCGCCCACATCCCAACGGCCTCCCCCAACCACCCAATCAGCGGGCACTTCCTGCAACCGCGTCMACCAATGACAGCGCTCCACGAAGGGCAGCGCCGTTGGGGGCGTGTTTAAAGGCGGGTGGCTCGTTGAGCGGCGGTAGTGCCAGGCAATCAAAATGCAGAAGCGGCAGCTGGGCGGGCGGGATGTTGTTCTGTCCGCCAATGGGAGAGGCTGAGCGCGCTGAGGCAGGGGTGGGGCTGGCGCGCGGCAGATAGGCGGGCGGCGGCGGGCGCGCGGGCACGTGACGGAGGTGAGGGGAGCCCGGCGGCGGTGGCCGGGGTGGCGGAGGGTGAGTGTTCCGTCTGTCCGTGCCCGCCCTCCGCAACCGCTGCGGCTCCGCGATATCGGGGTGCGGGAGCGCGAAACGGACCCGGCCGCGGCGGGGGAACCGGGCCTGTCGGGGGGTGTGCGGCGGGGCGCTGCTGGGCCCTGGGGGGTGGGCGGCCCGTGCACGGTCCCGGCCCCATCCCGGTGGTGGGAGGCGGCGGGGATCCACGGGAGCCAGGGCGAGAGGGACGGCCCGGGGAGGCCCCTGCGGCCGGGGGCGGGCGTGGAGCTGCGGCGGCGGCGCCGGGTCACGCTCGGCGCCCGCAGGGCTCGGAGCGGCCTGGGGGGAGCGGTGGCTCTTCTGGTAAGTTCTGGGAGCGCCGCTCTGGGCAGCTGCTGGTGCCAGGGCCGCGGGGTGGAACTGGGAGGGAGGCGAGGGTTGGAGGTGGATGTGGGCAGCGTGCGGTTAGGTTTTATCTGGCTGCGTGTTCCAGTGTCGGAAATAATTTTGAAAGTGCTCCCCATGAAGCCCCGCAAAGAGAGAGCAGGAGGTGGGTGCGAAGCATGGCGTGGGCCTGGTTGAGGCTGTGCGAGGGGAAGGAGAAATCTCTGGAAAGGGGGAGCTCAGGGCGCGGAGCTGGAGGCCCAACAGGTGAAGTGCAGGCGAGGAATCTGCAGCAAGATCTGAGAATCTGCGGGACTTGAAATGCATGCTTTGATTTTTGCCAMCCAAATATTGTTCGCGTTGGGTGTCTTTAAAATAGTGTATAAGTGACACCTCAGTTCTCATTTTTGGCTGAGGATTGTATTGTGTGCTTTTAAAATTAAAAAAAAAAAAACCCACACCTTTGAATTAAAGCCTGTACAGCACACTGCTTTCTTGACTGTACTGATTCTAAGTAAGAATGAACTTTCTAAGTAATGAACTTTCACATGCAGGTTTGTGGTTCAGAACTTTCTAGGCTGCAGAAAGAGAAATGCTGCAGGTGATTTGGTTGTGAAGGGAAACAGACATGTATTAATGGCAGTAGTAATGGTAAAGGTCCAGACCTCAATATGATGAGTGTTAACATAATTAGGGCTGCAGAGTTTGTGCAGATCATCATGGAAAACTCTTTCTGGAACCTATTTAGAGTATGTTAGATGTCTGAAAACTGGTATCTAGGCATGTAATGTATTTCTAAATSCAGTGTGTTTACTTAACGTCGTCAAGTAAGCATAATTAACACATGGGTTTTATGGGACAGTTTTGCACATTGTGGTTTTAGTTGTTACTAAAATACTGCAAAGAGATACAGAACTATAATAATGCATGMGCTAATGCAGATAAAATAATGGTTAAATATAGGCTGCTATATATATTACTCTRTGTTCATGCAGAAGTACCTGACTTTAAAGGCCATGTTACTGTAATTTGGCTGCATTAGATGGGCTTATGCAAAACACTTAATCAAAGGAGGAAAACTTTATGTTTGTATTAAATTTTAGTATTTCCATTTTTAAAAGAACAACATTATGAAGAAGATACTTGTACAATTCATAGACAACGTCACAAGCTGTGTTTAATATGTTAACTGCTTTTTAGGATCAACTGCCCCTCTAGGAAGGGAATCTAATGTAAAATAGTAAGRAAGTTTGCAACTTCCATCAGATTACTCTCTCATTTGGTGTGCTGCAGCACCTCCCCCCTGAGTAAATGAATAAATCTTTTACAGAGAATACACTGAGATTTGTACTTAGCCCTGCCTTTTACTTCCTTTTCTGGCCTTTGATTTTCTGCCTCTGGTAGTARTCATGGTGGCAGCTTATTCTTGCTGGAATCAGTTCTGTAGCAGGACGAACTTGAATTGATTTCTAGGTGTGATGGTCTGAAAGATCTTGGGGTGCCTCCAGATCTGCTCCCACCTAATATAATTTTCCTAGCAGCCCATCTGTTTTATGAGGTCAAAAAGCCTCAYGGTTCTGTCTTTACCCTCCAAGGACTTCCAGTTCTGCAGGAAGGATATCTGTGCTGACAAACAGTATCTGCTGTTTGCTCCTGTACTGCATCTGCACTGTTGTACATTATTTTTAGAAACTGGCATATTTGAAATGCCTATTAAAAGSAAGCTTTGTTGCTGTCCCTTTTCACACCTAATCCCTTGCCTGGTTTGTGCTCTCTACAACCCAAACAGGAAGCAGCTTTTTCTGCGGGGCTGTCCAGGTGAAGTTTGTCTAATCCTTTTCAAGAGACTTCTTCCTCATGTAGCAGTRTATCCTAGCCACCCCTTACTTGAGGAAAAAAAAAARTGGGGGTGGGGAAGAAAACACCCACATGAAGAGTTCTTGCTTGGGCATTTTGTTAGGAAGGTGGCAGCCTTGCTTGCTGTTCATTGAGTTGAAGGTTCACAGTGCTGCAAGTTGTGAGCTGAAAAACAGTATTTCAGGGGGAAAAGTGTCTGCATTGTATGAGTTGCTGTATATATATGAACATAATTGTATTATATCTCTTTTAGAGGGGTGCTGAGGCACTGTACTTGTTGAAAATATAGTATTTGGCCACACAGTTCTCAGCTTCCTCATGGTGTCCATCCCCTGARTCTGCCTAAAGACAGGTCAGGCAGGTGCAGACCTGCACTGCAAACTGTGGCATTAAGCTGACTCTGCTGCTCACAGTTTTATTTCCTTTATCCTTGGCTACTTACTTTCACTGGTACTGCTGCAACTCTTTCTGCTTTTGCTGCTGTATTGGCCTGGGCTATTGATTCAGGGTTAAAATAACATGGCAGAAGGACTTCGAGCCATCTTAAACCAGCGGCTGGTTCATCATGAGGCTGTGTAAACAGTTACCCTGGCACCGCAGAGGAGGCAGGATGTGGAAGGCAGAGGGGTTGTGAGATGTAGAAGAGGTTTCCTCTGCTCTTCAGTAGTTCTGGCTTTAATTGGTGCACTACCAAGTAGGGTAACCAAGCCTTTGCTGCAAACCCACAAAACTCCCATTTGAGAGGGAAAACGGTTATCTRCGTCTCAGCCTTTCTGTTGTCTCCTTGCAATTTTTTTTTGTGTTGTGATGAATTGTCTTTACATTTGACTTTAAATTTTTCTTCCCTAATTCTTGCCTGGTGTGAGGCTGTGTTATGCTTGTCTTCACTGGTATGCTTCTGCTATAAATACCATATTGAAACCCAGTGTTTGGAGCACAGGACTTTGCTAGCAGATTTTGCTCTTCCTTTTGCTTGAGTCACTCACCTGAGATTTCAGGTGCTTCTGAAATAGAAACCATTGATGCTCATCCAGTTAAATTGCTGAGGTGTAGTTCGTAATGACTGATACTTTTATAAGATCAATTTAGTSTGACTGTTAATTTCTTTAAAAAAGAGTAAATAGTAAATTAAACTAGATAGCCAGTAGCCATTCAAATAMAGTTATACATTCTGAAATATGCTGAAACTGGCTTGATGAACCATTGAAATAGATTAGTAACCAAGGAGATGAATAAACTGGTTTTACAGGCTCTGTTTGACCTGACAGGGAAGTTACTAAACAGTATGTACTGGAAGAATGATAGCAAAGGTCTTGAAGATCCTTTCAATTTCACTCTCTTCACAGGACATGTACATGAGGGAGAATAATGACAGCTGTCTGTTGTATGAGTGTTTCCTATGTCATGCCAATAATTAAGAAGAACTTTCTTCTTTATGCCCAGAGATAGGGAAATTCTTAATAAAAATTAGTCTTTGAAGCTGTGTAACTTTCTTGAAAGCCTTGAACTCCAAAGGTAACAATCACAATATGTTAAGACTGCTGCTTTTGAGGCAAGAAGCTGATTCTTTTCATTTTAGTGAGATTCTGCTTCTGAATCTCACTCCAATTTGGTTTTGATTTTACTTTGTAAAAAAGTAAAGTTTGTGTAGTGCAGTTGTTCCAGGAATCTGTTTTCAGCACGCTGCTATAGGTCTTGTAAATTCTGGGGTAAAAGGTTTCAACCTTTTGACAATCAAGTGAACAGTGCTTAAATGTCAGCTCTGAAGTTTTCTGGGTAGAAGCCGGCCATGGGTGTGTGCAGAGAGAGTGYAGGAGCACTGGCACTCTCAAACTCTCTTCCTTGTTAGTACTTTGGGATTACTACTGCAGTAGTTTTGCCTTCGATCTGAGTGGTGTGCCAATGCCTGTAAGCGTCTGAAGACCTTATTTAAAAAAAAAAAAAAAAAAGCACATGGAGTTATCTCTGACTTGAAACGTTGTTATGGTGAAAGTGATGGTTGCACTGAAGTAGAATGGAGACGTCAGAAGCTCTCACTATTATGAAAGTGTTCCTTTGTTAATGGCTTTCTGCAGTTGAATGATCAGGAATATACCAACCTTCAGAAATATTGCACAGTTAATCCTGAAGAAGGGAAGTGCAAGCAGAGTAAAAGATGGCTAAGGATGGTAATTGCTTGGAAATTGGACACTTCTTCAAGGGAGAAATCTGTTCATAATAGAGTAAGCGGCTGGACATTTGAAGGTTAGGCTACATGTTGGGTGACTAATTGAACACCTGTATTTTCCAGCAACTTAAAGTTCCACTGAAAAATTGATTTATACCTGTTTTGTATAAAACCTGAGTTTCATCTCTCTACCCCTCCCCTCCTCTTCTGTTTAGGAATAAGCTAATTTACTAGGGCATAATTGTATTTATGTTGTGTCCCCAAGGATTGTATAAAGTGAATTTTAAATTTTCTCCTGTAGCAGTACATCCATTATGGATAGAAGTAACTTTTTAAATATAAAAAAAATCTGTGCTTCACCTAAATTGTTCTTCTAAGAACATAGTGCCTTCTTTTATAATTTAGTCAGATTTTATACTGTTACAGGTTAAACAGAATAAGGAGTTTGGCATGATAACTAGCAGTTTCAGAAGAAACTACCAGTGTGTACTCAAGGTGTGTGAATGGTAGCTTATGTTGAAATTTGGGACTGATTTAATGTGTAGGAAGTGTCCTAAGCAGCTTTGTGCAGTGATATAAACTTGTGGCAATTGCTTGCCAATGATTGTAAGGATGTAAAGACATGAAACTGGATTAGCTTCTCTTCAGACTTTTTAAGCTTTCTTTTTTGGGGGATGAAGCTTGCTTGGGAACTTGATCAGAAAATACTTCTCCCTTGAATTCAGGTTCAGTGAGGTCTCATTCAGATAAAGCATCAAGTGATAAGTGTGGACYTGCAGGGTAGATGATACCTGTGTCTGTATCAAGAGCACAGATGTGTAGTAGAAATGTCTGCCCCTGCTGCGTGGTCCCAAGCAGAATTGTCTRGTTTCATTAAAATGCTTTGACAGAAGAATTTCTGAGGCCTTGTGCCTTTGCCACTTGGGTGTGAGCATTTACTAAAGTCCGTTTSCTATTGACAAACATTTCTGAGGGGCTATAGTTGAGGTGGGATTGTGAAGTAGGTAATTATTACWTATGGAGTCACTACTGGCAGGAAATGGGTGCATGATTTAATTCTTTCACCAAAACTTTCATGCTGGTTGGCTGCTGGTGAGATTACTTAAAGGATTACTTGTATACTAAACCCTTAATACCCTTCGCACCCTCCAGTTGGAAGGAGGGATGCAGAAACTCCTTCCTTTTAGGAGAAGAGAGAATTGGCTCATTTTTAATCTTGCTATGGTTTTAAGATTAACTTTGTCATATCACTTTCCAAATCCTGACATGCTCATTCAATCTGCATAGTATAATTTGAAAGCTATTATGAAACTGTATAATCTTCCTGAATTTCACTCTATTTAAAAAAATATTTAATGAGGGCCTATTGTTAAGGTAAAACTAAGTGGAACCCTTTCCATGGAAAGGTGTTTTGTGCCATCTCATCCTTGGTTGCTTTAATCACACAGGGTACATCCAGAGCTCTAAAGATCACTTTTTCAGATGAAGTTTCAGGTTCTTGTTTCTGGACTGGTTTTATGCTGATGGGCATGACTKTATTCAGAGAGCACATTATCTGTGCTTGAAGAATTTGCATCTCCAAGGGTACTGATGTCTGCTTGATTGTTTTCATTCCTTGTTTTTGTGTTGTGGCTCTCACACTAATATTAAGAGCTTTGAGCTTTTTTGAGGTCTGAAACTGTTCTCAGTTTTGGCTGTACACTGTGCATTAAGCAAACAAGCTTTGCTCATTTATAGCAACCCATGAAAGTTTTTGTCAGCTATTCCTTCTGGAGYGAATGTCCTTTTGGCTCAGAGGTGTTTGGGAGCAGTTGCCTGAACTGAGGGTGGGGGGAGGTCTGTGCACATCCATTTGGATGATAATCCTTAAGGCCATCACTATTGATRGAACCCTGGCTGCAATTGCATGTTGCAGTAGTGGCAAACTGGACACAACCTTAGCTCAATTCTTTAAAATACAATTCTATTGTAGTTRTAAAACATCCTCTCTGTCATTAGAAGTAAGTTAAAGAATAATATAAGAATTGTAGATCTGGTATGCAGCAGATCTGGTAGTTTTGGAATATTGGATGGTGCTGATGAGCCTTTGAGAATGTAAACTCTTTTAGTTGCCTGAACATTCTTTGGAAAGTTAAAAGTTTGTTTTCTAGCGTGATCTTAAGCCCGCAAATGCACTGTTACCTCTGCTTGAGTTATGTTTGAAAGTCTGCAGGGCTACAGTGTGATGTAGGTGTGTGRGGGAAGGGGTGGGGGAATGTTTGGTTTTATACTTGTTTCCAGAAAAAATCAGCCTCAGTTATAACTCTGGTTTTGGAAGGAAAATTTGGAGTGGGATTCAAAGGAGAAAAGCTGAGCAAGGCACAGGTTGTTATTGTGAGGTTTTTGGGCAGATAAAACTGAACAGCATTCTAGGAGTGTTGCCTTCTATATTAATCTAAAGATGCAACGTTCTTGTCCTTTTTCTAGGAGAAAAGTCAAATTGAAACCCATTTTACTTAYTTACAAGGTATTTTGAAGTATGGCTTGCCAATGTCTGTCATATTTTAGGTGTGACAATGTTCTGAGCATCTTATGATTTAGTGTAAGTGTGATATTTTAATTCTGTAAGGCTTCAGTTAATAGCTACTCTTTCTTTGGTCATCTTGTTAAATTAGAGATTGAAAGAAGGGAGTTGAATCAAGTGGTAGTTTCCAGTAGCTTCAACTGCTTATAGGCATCTGGCAGTAGTATCAATGACTGTTGGCAGTAATTCTGTAATAAAACCTGGGGAAGGGGTCTGATGATTGAAAACACCAGAGTTCTGCATTTGAAAGGAGAAAAAATATATTGAACAGGAGATGAGGATTGATTACTCTGCAGGTTGCTCTCTGCTTGAAAAAACTAGGAAATTGTATTTCAATTCCTGGGCTGAATGGAAGCTTCAGTTCCTGCATGGTGCATGGTCCTTCATAAGCACAAAATAGATTTTCTTTTTAGGTTTTTACAGTCACATATGTTGTGGTGTCATGTATGTGTCTTCTGTCCTGCTTGTGGGCTGTGGCAGCGTAAGAGCAAAATTATGACACTTCTGCTMCATCATCTGCAGAACGTACACACATGGTTCTCCCCTCAGTTAACGTCTGTTTGGTATTAAATATTTAGCTTTTTGTTGTGTTCCTCTCCAGCTTTTAGAGCTGCCTCAGAGAGATRCAGTAAATGACAGCTGGAGAGATAAGTTTGCACTTCACCTGTTGCCTTGGATGCTCGGTTTTGTACCGAGAAGCAGCGTGTTGCTCTGCGTGCAGTGCTGGCTTGACCTCTTTGCTTTGTCTTATTTATCAGAGCATGGAGCTGAAATGGCTACTGTGTGCGACCCTGCTAGCCCTTGGGATCCTTGCTGTCCAGGCACATGATATGGATGAAGACAATGATGCTGATGATGTAGTTGATATTGAGGATGACTTGGATGATGGTATTGAAGAGGTGGAAGAGTCAAAGTCTGAAACAAGCAGTCCTCCTCCAGCTCCAAAGGTTTGCCATGGAACTTGTTTTAACAATTGAATTACTGCTTGTGTTTTGGTTAATGTGAGTCTCATCAGAGTTGCCTTTGCTTTTTTAACCTTTAATATGCTGTAATGTTGTTAAAGATGTTCTCTGGGAGTAGGGCTCAGAATTAAGGTTGGCTTCTTTATTCCTGTTCTCAAGTCTCCTGTGTTTTTCCAGAAGACATAGATCTAACCTTGAAATCTGTGATGTGAGTATCAGGAGTTAATGCTAATCTTTCCACCTAGGTATATACTTGAGTTTTAGTTGTGGACAAGAGCACAACAGCTTGGTACAAGCAGCAATATTTATGTAATTTCTGTATTTATGCTTCAAGAATGTGCAGGTGAGCTGTACTCAAGTGTACGAGGGAGTGTGAGCTTTACATGCCTGTATTTCTGTAGAATAGAGAGTATGTCTTGAAAGGTGCATAAATGCTCTTCTTTTCCAATAGGTTACSTACAGGCCACCAGTCCCAACTGGTGAAGTGTATTTTGTGGAATCTTTTGATAAAGGAACTCTGGATGGGTGAGTATAATCTAAAGGATGATTCAGTATAGCAAATAATTCAAAATCTTGGTGAAAGGCAATGAAACCCTYTCTGTAGAGCCTGTGTTATTCAAAACTGAATCAAAGAGCCTCTGTTTGGYGGGATTACAGTAGTGACT